AATTTCGCGAAAAACGTGTCCACGCGCACACACAACGACATATCATACCTAGCGAGTGAATAAACGGCAGTGTCCACACAGTCCTGTCGCCCTTTTGCCACCTTTATTATCGGGATCTGTGTGTGGCGAAAAAAATAAGGTTCTAATATTGTCGTATTCACCAATAAATTAACAAATCACTTTTTGATCACGTTGCGCAGATGGGGAATAAATCCCACGCTGCAATTCTACGCAGTCTCTAACTGAGAACTGTTCTGCTTTGTACTAAGTTGTCATTCTTAATTTTACCAGCTACTTTTGGGTGACTGCGAAGGTTCTTGCTAATTTTGAAACCAAATACAGCACAATATATTTTCATGCAAAGTATACCAATTCGTCACTAGGGTGTTCTCCAGTTTCTTTATCTGACTCACAATATCCTATAAGTTCATAAATTCTATCCTCATAGAAACTGCATAGTTTATCTTAAAAGAAAGTTGTAATATGATTTTAATTTCTTTCGATGAATTAAATGTTTTGCCGAGAACAAAACGGATGAAAATCTGAAGAACAGTCAGAATAGAAAGGCGGGTGCTAGAGGATTTCAATTTAACTCCTTAGACTTTTGCAATGGCTGTTGAGCAAAACGTCGTCCAGGGTTGTCGTGGTGAATGAGGATGTCCTTGTACGTTTTGCTTGGATTTCAACAATGAGTTTGGCGATTTACTTACAGTAATTCTCCGCAGTTATTGTTAACCCACGTATAAAATCTCGTAAAACTTATTCTTTTGTAATCCCACTAGGCGCATAGTGACACATTAGATGTGTACCAGTCTCTGACATTTTGTCCTCGAACTTCCATGACCTCGGTTTATTCTTGATATATTGTAGTACACAAAAAACTTTTCATTTCCTTTTATGACTTGAACCCAAAATGATTATCTTCGTTGACGAATGATGATTGAAATAGCTGAAGAAACATGGTTTAGTTCGTCTAGTAATATCAGAACACTTGGTTTAGTCAAGTGCGGTTTATCATCATACCTGTCATTTCTACCTAAAAATACCTTTCGGGTAGTTGCTTAACTGGTGCCGCAATTCCCCCAAATATATATTGCAGGTTTATTTTCAATTTCCTCTCCTTGCAACCCGTTTAAGATTGCGCAATGTATGGTTTTAATCCAAAAACTTTAAGCTCGCGTTTTTTAAGATGATGGTCTTATAAGTGTTGTGCCAGGGTCATCTCTGGGCATTCAGTTTATTCGATGTAAAATTTAAAAAAGTCCCAAGGGCTTGTACTTGGTATATTTAGCTTCAGATCTCGTTAATTTATATATACATCCACGCCACGGACATTTTGTGGGTGAAATTAGGGACATAGTAAGGTAGCTGAGCGAGTTTGATCTTCTCAGCAGGGGTTTAAAGCTTAATGAGGACTTACCGCAAAACGAATCCGGACCACGGCTGACCATAAGCTGGTGACTTATGCAACCTTGAGTAGATGTACGGAAGCAATGTAGTTGAACTTGGAGAAAGGGTTATATTAATGCGACGGTATGGCTTAAAGTCAGTTCTGAACAGACGACCTTTTTTCGGACCGGAGAGCATCGGCTGCATGGAGCTTACGTGCACACAAATTCAAATTACCGATTTCATAAATGAGGCATTGCAGGTCATAATTGACGAGCTAGTTTAAAATAGTGCATCGTGGGCAAGATAGGAAGTTTAAGTTACCAATAAGAAAGGATAATATGACACACTAGGAGTGAGATCAATATTTTAAACAAAAACCTTTACTTTGGTGTAAGTACTTAAGGCCCAGGACTTGCATCAACTCCTGCTTGTAAAAATTGGTAAGTAGGACCCCCAAACAAATCACTTAATGGGGCTTACGGCCAATCAACTACCAGCGGTTCCACTGACCTTTGCTAGCTACTTGGAACTTTTCCTCTAGCCTCGTAGCGTTTTCGACATTTTAATTATTTACTTCTCTGATTCTTGATCTGTCGACCGTTTGAGTATTATTAGAGACGCGTGAATTCGCTTTCAGTAGTTAAGACTTGTGGCTGATTACTTGTACCCCATGCGTCGTGCACCAAATAAAGTTAAGGTGCGGAATGGATGGGGCTGTTGAGGGCACCTCTTTTAACAAGGCTGTTTAATGTTGGCTCAATTCGATTCACTTAATAAGAAGGAAACACGTAAGGTTATCTCCTATTTGTCATTAGTGTCTTAACCAAGGTTTAAACTGAAGGGTAGTTATGTTTCAGAATTACCTCCTGGCTAAAGGAGTAAGGCATACTATACCAGATGGTTGTATTAATCAACCAATTTATAACTTATTAAGTGCTACAAAAACTGTATACGTGGCCCAAACTATAAATCGTTACCAAACACTATAGAAAACGGCCAAGGATTCTCATAGTTTCTGAAGAGTAAAGGTTTCATTCTTTAATTACATCATCATTGGTACATTGATTGAGTCATTCTATTTCAAACTGGACCTTTGAGAACATAAAATTATGGCCGCTAAAGTATTTGTTAACAACCGGCACATCTCACTAAGTTCTGTAGATATGGCTAGCGCGGAGTTCATAGGTGGGTTGTGCTCAAAAAATCAATAAAGTAGTCGACAAATAAAAATTTGCATCATAAAATTGAAGTATTTTACAAAGGTAATCAATTGTGAGTATGTCAAAGAGATGGCCAACAATTCCAACTTTGTAGATGGGAAATTTAACCGAATTCGACTGAAGGTTTGGGACATTCCACGCCTTTTGCTCCATAGTGCTATGAGGGATGTTTCAAAACTGCTGGCCAAAAATCCATTCTGTTCTTGAGAATAATTCGAACCCTTCCTTGAAATATTTAAACAAATTATCTTCACTAAGATGTAATGCACCAATCGAAGGTAAAGATTCAGAGTCCAACTCGTAGTGAAGAAGGTGTGTGTCAACTGAAGGCTCTGAACGTGAGCAAATTATACAAAAGAAGCATTTTAAAATCTGTGTTGCAGCAGGTTTCTCGAAATAAGAAAAGACATTTTAGTGACACTGCAGAAATCATGCTTCAAAACTAAAGATAAACAGTCTGGAATCTCTCAATCAGCCTGTATTTTGTCTTCATTCTAATGTGCTAACCAATTCTTAAAGACAAAGCTTGGTAAAGTTTTGCATAATTTCACTGGGGTAGTTTTTTTACTCGCCTTGCCTTCAAAATTAGACCCAGTTCACATGTTTATTTTTAAATTTTAAAAACAAAAAAAGGACATTGAACGCTTGTGGTATGTGTCCTCTAAAAACCCAGGTCTCAGTTTAAGAATCGAAGACTGGCCGGTTGGAAAGTGCATGCACTGTGAATGTTGCATCTAATCCTCGTGAGCGTTTAAAGTGATCTGGATGGAATCCTTTTTTGCTTGCGTCTACGTCAGATTATTAAGAACATGTGAACTATATTACAGTCCATTATAGTGAAATTTTTGAACAAAGGTCTCATGGATGTTTATTCTGCTTTGAAAATTTGTATCTACATCTTCATTGGAGTGCGTAGCCTTGTGGTGTTACCTTTGCGTATTTCTTTCATTTATTTGGCATAAAGCAATTCATGTACATGCAATTTATAATCCGCACATGATCTAAAAACCACTGGCGGAACTTGATCTACTTATTATTCACAACAAGGACTAATCAATCAAGCTTTCTTTGGTGGTACACATGTGTTTACACTTGCACTGATACATAATCAACAATGACATAATTGCACATTCTCAAGAGCCATTAACACTCTTGATTTTGTTGCAGCTAACTCAAATACCTTTAAACCAAAATGAATGTTAAACTTCGAATTGCCAAATAATAGCCCTAACAAGAATTTTGACATGTGCAATCAACATTAAATTTTATCCCAATGTAAGGGGTTTATCTTCTAGTTTTTCGGTCTGTCCGGTTCTAACTTGTTTTCCAGTGAAAATTGCTTACAGAATAAAGACAATTTAAGGTGACCACATTGATCACTAAGTAATATTCAGTAATTCAGATTTGGTTCTATGAAAGTGGCATGGCCCTAAAATAGGAGCCAAAACACATGCAACGTCTGCTTTTGGTTCCTCACCTCATTGATCAGCCATTTATATAACAGAGAAGCCTCTCCGAGCTGGTGCCTTTGAACGACCGCGTTATTCATATCGGCGCCTGTGCACGTAAATATTAACAAGAGAGTTTTGTCTTGAAAAGTGCAATCTAAATCCGCAGTTCCAATCGTGTTTCCTTCCCTAATTTCCCCATTGAGATTGTTCATCCCAGACACTGCATAAATTATTCAAACTATTTAGCGAACCACCCCCCGTGGTGAATTGAAGTGTTGGTAGCTCTTAAGTATGTTTTGTGAGTAGACTTCATTTACAAACCTAGGTGCCAACAATATGACGATATTTAATATAAATCCCAAATTATGAAACATGTTAAGCTTGAGTCAAGATGAGAGACCAAGTTGGCTCGCTGGCCAACAGTCACGATTCTCGGGTTTAAAGGTAAACAAAAATTCTCGGGTGGTCATTTGCATCACTGGATGAGAAGCAAGGGTGTGAAGGTCAACTGGTGCCAAAACTGGATTAAATGGCGCAATAACCAACAAAGGTTCAAGAATCCCATTGCTTGTAAATTATCACAAAATGGTTGTGTTTACCTAACGTATTTGCCTTACCCGTGGATAAACAAATTCAATGATCTTAAATTTTACCTGAATTTGACATCTGTGTTTGCTTAAAGTGGATGAGTTTGAGGACTTACACCTTTGTGATTGTTTTGCTAAACTTACATGTACTTAAAGGATTTACTCAAACCCACTAAGAATTGGTCATTAATGTCCTTCCTTTTCTTAAAAATAAGCCTTTTTCATATTTGTTTTTTTTTTATTTTTTAATGAAGTTTCAAGCAGTAATTTTAAAAAAAGATGTGATGTTCATGCGCACGTGTTATTGCTAATGCGTGAACGAGGTTAAAACAATGTTCTAGTAGAAGTCGTTATTCCTTGCTGGTATCCTCCAGAGAAATCGGTCGCCAGATCGGTTTGGGATCAGGCCGTTGGGGCTCACAACCGGCCAGACTTGGAACGCTAAACTCAGCTTTGGTTGGTGAATTTTCAAACAAAGTGGAAGATGAGGCATGTGTCGGGACAGTGGGAGAGGAGGGGGAGACCGACAAGAAGCCTCCATCCTCCACCGAGGAGTGCGTGAGTGTTGGAGGTAACTGGGGGACATCGAAGAGGAAAGTGGTGGTTTTTTCTCGATTTCGCTTGGCCGCGAGAATATCACGCTCCAGTTCTGCACATTCGCGTTTCTTTTTGGCCCGACGATTTTGAAACCAAGTGATAACCTCGAAAGTAATTGAAGTACCAGTTGGCAAAAATAGTTTTAGAAAGTGGGTGCCGGTGAATAAGAGGGCCCAATTCTCGTAGTCGCATTAAATCACAAATTTAAGCAACAGGCAATTACACGCTCTCGCTAATGGTTTTAACTGTGATATTCACAAAAGCCCCTCTTCTCCCCTTAATGACGGCTGGTTTTAGAATTCAGGCCTATATCTGCCTGACTGGTGGTGGGGGTGCCGTAGTAAAGGCCTGGGGGATGCTTTGTGGGACGGCTAAGGCAACCGTTTTTGATCAGGTATAATGAAGACAAATTCACGCCGGATGTAAAAAGCCGAAGCCCCACATATGACGCTTTAAATTCAAACCACACTGGGCAGTTGTTGTGGTGGTCGGAACATCGGGAGTGGAGGGGGGGCTGACAGGGGTTTCTGAAATTCATTTTTGAAAAGGGGATTGGTTTAAAGTTTCCAACAGTCACCGGTAGTCTAAAATAAATGAGCATGTCTAACTTCCTCTGTGCGTTTAACACCAACAATTGTTGCGGCTGTTGTTGAAGAATGATTAAAATGTGCAGCACCAACCCAATATTTGCAAAAAAGGCCAGTACGAAGGAGCAAACTATTAATTCTATAACACGACCTGCTGTTTTCAGGCATTCTATCAATTAATAAAGTGATTGTGTCACAACAAGCCAATGATGTTTTTGAAAGTATTTCTACATTCGTGAGCGTTTTTAGTAGTCATGGCAATATACTTTGAGATACGACTGAGGTTTCGCATTATTTTCCAATCACCTACAGTAAGAAAAGAACTGATTTCAATTTCAGGATCGTCTATAATCGGTTTCACTCAGTCAGTTTGGGGAAGAGTAGCTGCATTTAGTCTAGATTTGTAGTTATTCAATTCGAGCTTTGGCCTTTACAATAGTTGAATCCTGCCTACTTACGAAAGTGTCTATTTTTCTCCGTATAAGCCAGTGTTATGATGAAAACGTAAGCTAAGGAAATAGATTGTGGTAAGTCCAGTTGGCGTTTCCTGTATTCAGACTGGGGGTCAAATGCAACGTCAGCAAAGGGCAAATGAATAGTGCCCCACAGACATCACCTGCTGGTCAGGATCACTTTGAATGTGAATTTGTTCGTCACTATAGGTATATTTAGCGTACCCTACCAACTTCAAATACTTCAAACAGGAAATGAAAGTCTTTAGCAAAGATATTGTGGCGACAAGTCTTGAGGGACTAGCTTAGCATTGCTTGGAACGGTTTAATCAACTACTGCATTAAAAGCGAGTTCTTCACAATAAGGGTTTCACTTAGCTCACAAGTTTTAACTGTGCACTAATCCACAAGTCAAAAAGCATCCCTTCGCCTTAAATTGTCAGCACAGCCCGTAGGGGAAGTACTTAAGTTTGACATCGGTAGCCGTTTCAAATTCGCCAAGTTCTTTAAAAAGTATGAATCCACCAGTTTAACTCTTTTGCCACATTTGACTGCTGTTACCCCAATTTTGTTACATTAATTATAGCTAGTTTTGCCACTTTACTTAACTGCAAAATTTCGCAAAAATCTACCGCAAGGAACCACTTTTGGGCAGAACCATCGAACTACGCTTAACCACACTTGCAAATCAACTACAGGCCGAAGCAAATTTACGAAATAGGGTAAAACGATCTGTTTTTCTCTCAACCGCTTCCGTTAGTGGCAACGGAGTAGATCTGGGTGGTGGAAGTCATGACTTGTAGCAAACACGGGCAAATTATCAGTAAATTAGAGTAAATTGCCCTTTCCGTTCATAACCTGTCTACACTTGTAACAGCTAGTTGGTTAGTGTCCAAGTGACGTCGCTCTCAGAGCGGGTAGGGATAGAGGGGAGGGCTAGCAGACAGTGCGTTGCGTGCAGTGGCGTAGAGAAAAAGCAATTGGTCTACTTAGGGCAAGCGCGTGCACAGTTTTCCTCCAAAGACCACAGCGACAAGGATGCTGATTTGCTCGGTTTCTCCTGGCCACAAAAACTTCACTAAAATTGTAAGTGATGACACAATTACCTACTTTTCTCCACTTCAAAATCCTTCAAGTGGTGGAGGGGAGGAGGACTAAAATAGCTCTGTCAATTAGACCATCTTGTCAAAATTAAGTCGAAACGGCTATCACAATAGAATGCAAAAGACTTGAAGTAAAGAATTATTATGCGATCCACACTAATATAGGTAACTGCAATCCAGACTCATGAAAGCCATAGTTCGGAACTCAGTGTCAGCTTCGACCCAAAAGACCTCTTTTCTACACTTTTAAGATCTATCTGGATTGACCATTGGCTTCATGGAGCACGCATTTGTTGATGCCTGAAGAAGAGCTTGATGTTGGGTGCTTGAACAATCACCTTGCAAACATAAACAAATCAAGGAATCTAAATGACGAAAGTAATAATAGTAATTGTAAGGCGATGTTACTTGGTCAAATGTTTCCCTGATACTATGAGCTATTTCATGTCCCTCTGCGATCTGCTCCTACGTGATTTTTCAAGAAAACTTATAAATTTGGAATCTATACCATTTTATACACTAAGTGACTTATTGATGAAAATCGCTATCTGAAGCACCATGAAATAAATGAGACACTAAAAACTATTGTGCCTGAAAATTAAAACACACGAACAATCTATACTAGTAAGGATGCCCGATGCATGGATGCTGCTCCAAGCAGTCTAGTGGATGTAGTGGGCCTCACTCATTAGTGAATATATCCTCAAACATGAAATCATGAGTAATGAAGTATAGCTTGTTTGAGGTAACAAAAGCCCAAAATCAGGCCAACATAACTAATCGGGCTAGGTTAAGGAGCTTCGCGTAATCTACCCTTTGATCTAGATCTTAAATTACCAGATTGCTATGTGTTTGGGGCCTTATAAAACCCACACAGTGCCTTAAGATTTTATTGGTTACATCGATCAGTTTGTGCCATCAAGTGATTTGTAATTCTACGAAATCGGAATTAATCCGATGTCAGGAATAAAAATAAAGGTATTGACGCAAACAACACGTACACAATCATGATTAACGATATCTCAAATTTATCCTTATGTAATTTCGAAATCCAGAAAATGCTGAAAAGGCGCTTCAAATAAATTTTTGTTATTCAATGCATCGTATTTCTAACAAGTGTCATGCAAGTTAAGATGGAGAATTCGTAATTAAAGGCTGGTACAAATAAGATTGATCCGAATTAACTGTTACTATAACAGTGATTGGAAAAGCCACTCTGGTTAATTTGGTAGAAAAAGGTAAGTTAAGTATTTGCTCCGTCACCGTGTAGACCCTATTGGTTATCTAAAAGTAACGACTTTTAAAATAAGTTCACCAAATGAGTCACACGAGAAATAAATCATTGTTTACATTGCCTTAACAACCCTCTCAGTAACGTGCAGTCCGTTTCTACTCTCAGAATATAAAAAAACAGTTATTTGGGTGTCTTATCGGTTTTGAACGCAAGAGACAGGTTAGCGAATAGCACGTATTTTTGGCACTTAGTCCATAGAAATAGTCGCCCTTTGTTTGTGTGGGCGGTGTGTTCAGAAATGAGAATCTTGCATATAGAGAGCTCAGGCTGAGCAGTCTACAAACGTCCATCCCATCAGCTGCTGCACTGGCAACGACCGCTTGATGAGTTCATGATCATGATGATAAGGGCAAATGAAGGGCCCCCATTCTAAGAATTCCGATATGAACCCACATTAAGTTACTCGAGTGGCAGTTTTTCTAAAGCCTGGCCTATGTGTGTCACGGTTTTGACACCTCAACAGAACGTACTCATGGCATTTAAAAGGGTTTTTTTCAAAGGCTACGTGAATTTGGACAAAAGATATACCTTTGGGATGCTCTATGGAAATCATTATACCTCTAGGAGGAATGACTTGAACTGCGAATTCAGGTGACAATAGGGCTTTTCAAGATTAAACGAAAATACAAGAGACTAGCAAGTATTTTAACTGTACCTGTGTACTAGAGAGACCAAGTTCTCCAGCTATTTGATCCCTATCAGCTGGTGTGAGGTACTTCTGCTTGCTAAAGTAGACCTCCAGTTCTGCCAACTGAAAGGAGGTGAAGGTGGTGCGAGTTTTTCGTCTTTTCGGTGCTCGCATATTGACTGACGATTCTGTGCCCAAATCTGGCGTCATCGCTGCACCGATTAAGACGTGTTTCTGGGTATGCTTTGCTAAAACATTGCACATAGGTAATTGGTTTTGCGTAATACTAATTTCTGATAAATATTCCTAGATTGTACGAGAATTAAAAAATTAATAAGCTAAACGTGGAAGCATGGTGTGCTGTAGTATCATTTTATAACCATGAAGAGATCTGTGATAACCAATACGCTACTACATTGGATCGAACCCAGCGATTTATTATGTTTTCCAAGGTAATCAAAATTTTCTGCCGTAAGCACAAGAGAAAGTTTTGTTTAGTTATTTTTATAGAATCTAGAAGACCTTTAGTGAGCTGATGAATTTTCTTTTCATCAGATGACGAATTCCATGAGCATGCGGTTTGCGGACAGAATCAATGACTGGCAGAAAACAAGACCGATTATTACTGTCAATTCTATAAAAAGCAGGAGAAATGGACATGGAGAGTATATCTTAATGATAAAGCATTGGTTGTGACACGTTGTGGGCTGCCAGGTTTTTTCTCAAAACTCTCGTGAGAACCATGGTGCGCCAGCACATGTCCAGCCAGCTCGGTGGGCGTGATAAGAGAGTACTTCAGTACTGGGTTTGTCTCTCAGAAACAGTCTCGATTATTTATTTGCATAATCTAGACTAAAAACATGTAGCTGATGTGAGGAAGTAATAATTGCACAGCTTTATATTCCAAATGCCTATCTCGCCGCATGGAAAAGCACAAGTATACTCAATGACCACTTGATGTGAGTTTTTGATTAAGCTGGACGTAGGTTACCAAAAAGTCGTCAGGCCATGTCTGGAGAAGGGGAGCATTCCTTCGCATAGTTAAATTGGTCTATCTTGCTGCACAGAGACCTGGTAACAGCACAAACGTTCGGGGCCCTGTCAGTGGGACAATTCAGGACGTGGTTGCGCCTCCGCTTACCAATAGTGCGACTTTGGCTTCGTTGGTACATGGCAGGGCTATAGGGTACCATGCAAATTGCCTCTCGTGTTTGTCAAAGGGACCAGAAGGGCCATGAATTATAGGTGTTTACAATTTAAAGCGTGGAATATGCCCTCGTTACCATGCAAAAATTACTGGCTAATTTACAGTACTCGATAGTTTAAATGGAGGATTACAGTGCCTACTTCGTTAAAGCAAATTAGCTTGTGCGTCACTGCTAATGCAGTTTAATTGTGACTCAGCATGGATAAACTTTGCGGGAGTAAATGACTCAAATTCAATAATTTAAGGCTCGATGTAATGAACGACGGGCGATAACGATTAGTCTGGAAATAACTTCCGGGACTCATCGATATTTACCATGAAATCGGATATTTCAGACTCCTGCCCCGTATCATGGATTCGACTTGGATCACAAAAGCTAGAGCTGATGGGGGTAAGTTTGCACCCCTGCGCTTGTCCAGAACTGTATCTGGTTTCATCTCTGTGAGTGAACAACTTCATTTAGCTAATAGGAGATACTCTTTAGGCATCGAATGCATCCATTAGAAATTGATAATAAGTATTCACATCGATTTGCCCTGATGAACGTCACCTATTACCTCCGTAAGATCACAAACCCAGAGGATGGGGTACGCCTTGTTAAATGAACAAAACCCCTAAATTATGGTGTACTGAAAGTAAACAACAGACGCTTACCTTTTGGTATTTCATCGGAGTTACCGAGTTGGTAGGTTTTTGACAGGGTCATTTCAATGAGGGAATTCAATGCCGGAGTTCCGAATTCGCTTTTATTTGTCACCTCATTCACCTTTTCCCGTGAATCTTCATTCGGAAGGTGTCCTCTTGGGAGTGGAGTTTGGGGAGGTTGAGATAACGAATGTAATGGTGGTGGCGGCCACACGACCCTACTCGAACCTGCTGTAGTCCCACTACCTCTTCCCCCGCCCCCGCCTCCGCCTTCCTGTTGTGCATGCGTCCTGTTTCTCGTCTTCAAAACGCAGCTGAAGAAGATCTCCAGGAGACGATAGAATTCGCCCACACCCGCAGCCATCTGTCCTGTCTGCATGAGAGGTATAGTGTCAAATGCGCCACGCAGATCGCTTCCCTGTTCAAGTCTCATCTTCTCTGCACGTAAGAGGGCTTGTTGGAGCAGATTGTTTGGCTGGTCTCCGTTCGGCAAGAGGTGAAAGATGTCCTGGATAAAATCAAACATGACGGTCCTCGTTTATCCACACTAGAATGGAATGGAGTTATTTATCTTGTCGGGAAATTAGCCTGTGTTTGCGCGTGTGCATGCGTACATGCCACCTCCGCCGGCTGTACGCGCGCTGACTGGTCGAAAATTTTGACACGCGCTCTAATGGCCAATTGGGGCGCTGTCAAAATCTCGGTTTAGTTGCGTCACCTGTCAAGGCGCCTGTGGCGTTGTGTGCGGGAACTTCTAAGGCATAATTGTTCGGATAAAGTGATTAGATTACTACCACGTCACTTGAGTTCAAAATATTGCTTCTTACCTTTTTTGCTGCCGTCGCTTTAATGGAATTTTACAAAGGAATGCAAAAGACAAGCAAACTCCTGTAGGATTCCATCCTTCAAGACCTGGGCGTAACATTGCCAGTCTAATTTAAAAAAAAATTGTGCTAGTGATTGCAACTGTAAGTTCCAGCGTTCCCCAGTGAAACTGAGGCTTTTGTATTGAAGTAACCCATTAAAACCAGTTAAAACGTGGTCCTCATTAAAACCATGTGATATAGTAAATGACTACACTAATTATGTGCAAAAATAATGTAAATTAGCAGCAGCAAATTCGATAATTTTTCCCTGACTAAGTGTTATGTGTGAATCTGATTCGGGAACCCAGGGAGAATTTTAACAGCGCAACTAAAATTCTAATCTGGAGAGGAACTTGGTATTAGTAAGCGGCTGCCGACCGGATATTTTATCAGCTAATTTAGATATAAGAAATCTGGTAACAAAATGTATGGTGATTTTAGAGGGATCTCAAACGAGGTTATATATAAATATATAGTTAAATTTGAAAATTTAAATTGAAAAGCAAGGTCAGGAAGAATCTTCAGATATTGAGGGAATATCTAAATAAACCACATTGCGAGATGTTGAGTAACCAGTGTGGAATGTTTCGAGCAATTGATTTCTCAAAGCCCAAAGATTCGTTTCTGTGCCGCTTGGTCCCTGCTTCCAGCCACAAACAGCATGCCTCAAGACCATTGACTGCCTTGACCACGAACACCAGTAATCTAAAGGAAAGCACTGAAGACTCTAATAGGTCGTTTGTAATCACCGAAATCGGAAAAGTTTCTGCAGGACTGACGCCTGCCACGTAGGATGAGCTATCGGAGTAGGGGCTCGAGGACAATACCGGAAACGGAGGCGCGTGGACGTCATGATAGGGTTAGGTTTAAGTCATCCAAATTAATGTTAAGATTAATAAGGGTACGGTAATTTTTGCCTCTAATAAAATCAGTTAAAAGTGCCAGGCAAACTATTTTAAATTGACGGTGCATGCTTGAACCCATTCAGTTGGCTTATTTATGGCTCAGCGTAGGTTAATGGCTATCGTTCCAACATTAGGTGCTTCCAATTTAAGGTACGCTGTCTACTGAATATTACCTTCTTTCACAAACAAGTCCTAACGCCTAATGTGTTTTTCGAGTTACACGCTGCGTCTTGGTACCAAATCGGCATTTAGAATGGTCCGTTGTGTCATTACCAAATAATCAATTCTGAACATTCGATTGCTGCAAAACATGAACCTCCTAAATAAATACATTACTGGACAGCACAGGGAAATTGCCAAGACTTAAGATTTGTGACTAAATGAGCTCCTTTTGGCACTCAGCGATTGTGTCACAAAAATCAGATTTAAGTCGACACAAATATTACAAGCTAAGAAACACACGGCAAATACTTACGCGAATTTATAGATGAAAACTCCAATACCACAAATTGTAATATTTTTGTAACTTCAAAACAGACTAGTCCCCTGTTAGTTGTTTTAACGCTCCGAAGATGGATCGAATAAAAACATTTGAACTTACGAACCACGTTGCTAGGTTTGTGAATTCGTCCCAGCTGCCACAACGAATGTTGGTGGGTGAGCGGGTGGGTGATCGAGCCTCGGAGAGGGAATAGGGAGGAAGAGAAACGCTTCCCCCTATTAAGCTGTGTGTGGGGACTGTACAACAGTTGTCCTGGCCTTGTTTAGGTGGCTTAATGAAAAAATAACATTCACATGCGAAAATAAGGTCCGGTTCCGCAAATTTAATTGTCAAACCAGAACTGGACTGAATCTGAAAAAAACTATGCAAGAAAAGAGTTTATCTCAGTTTAGTTACTGTATGGGCTCACTTAGAAGGAATTTTATAACTCGAATCAAGCAGTGATGCTCTACAATTGCAAAATGAGTCGCAAATTTATCGAATCATGCACAAAATTCACTCCATTGTCATAGAAAAAGTTCTAGCATCTATCCTGATTGCTGAAAGTGGGTTAGTCTTTTGTCAATCAAAGTAGGTGAAAGTTCAACAGCTAATTAAAACCAAAATACCCAGAGCAAGTAGAAAACGGGCAAAAATGAAGCTCAACTATTTTTGGCATGGTAAGAGAGTTTCAGTTGCCCCAATCAACTTTGCAAGATAGTGTGCATTTCCACTCCAACCATACCCATTGTTTTGCAGCATAGTTTACAGCGAAGAAAGTATGGACTAAATTTTATACGTTAACACAGTAGTGATATACATAATGCACTTGATTTTTCGGTGGCATGTTTTGAGAGATGTCAAAATTAAATTGAGGAGACTCCCGTATAGCCGGAGTTAAATTAAGGTAATAAGAAGCGGTCTGTAATTACCAAGCGTCGCTTGTCGAACTGAGTCCGCTCATAGTAAAATAGCCACGGACATCTCTGCTATTATTTGCATACAAGATCTGATTCCATAATCAACCCGTAAAGGAATTAAAAGTGAGAAATCCGATAGCTTAAAGCAGAGCCAATTCTCTCAACTTTGGGCCAATAATTTGGGTGGTGTTAGGTTAAGTGCCAGTTCACTGTTCATGCATGTTATTTTTTTAGGTTAAGTGAACATGACTTCTAATTAAGGCAAGGCTTGAGGGCACGGGGTGGTGTCATCCATGTGTGGACGTGAACTTGAAGTTACACGATACTTCAAAACTAGTTGTACAGGTGTGGATGTGAGAAAACGCAAGGGCTAATTTTGTGCTTGTCGCCAACATTTTTACCCCATTCTAAGCCACAGTTTCCACATTCGGGATCCACAAAAAACCCATCTACCACTTAGAACTTATTGCACAATAAACGACTTAACGCACTTCGGAATGAAAGATATTTGTAGGTTACATGTTTGAATCATGATCAGTGTTGAGTGGCAAAATTTCAAAAGGCATAAAAACACAATCTTGGGCTTGTCTGTGTGTTCTTAAGCGTGTACAGCTATTCACTTCCACTAGTTCGTTTGGCCAATGTAACAGGAAATGACGGATGGGTGTGTGCGCATGTGTGGATATTCAACATTCCATGATCGGTTCGTTCTACAAATTCCAAGTACTTTAGGACTGGCCGGAAGGCGATTACGATTCATTAACACTTAAACACTTATCGGAATGCCGAATTGCGACTTTAATGCAAGTACAGGTGAAACACCGCACGCCTCCACTCGTTGTTCCAGGAGTCATAAGTTTTACAAACATTTTTCCCAATAGAATCCGCTGGAAATGCAAACACTCAACCAGTGAACCATTCTTCCTGATTTAGTCATTTAAAGTATGAAAAAAAGGGACTACATTTCTTTGCTGGAACATGATTACCTCATGAAATTAAAGGGCCAAATTATGTAACACACAGTCCAGGCTGGATTCACAGCCAATATGTTGTGCATTACTTTTGAGCTCACAGACTGTGGACGAAGGCAGGAGAAACGAAGCATACACACACACCGACACACACACACACACACCCAGCAGACAACTGACCGGCAACGTGTCGATTCTTCACACGTGGTACTTATATGCGGGGCTCCCATTATATCTCAGTTGCTATTCCCCGTCATTTTTCTCCTGGTCTTGTGGTAGCGGGTTACTGACATGCTCGTTACGTAAAAAAACACTCAAGATAATTGTTTGACTCAGAGGTGTGATCATTCCCTATGGTGTTAGAAAGTAACCAATTAAAAAACGTAACAACTTACATGGAAGATTGCGATTCGACAACGGTAGCTCATGCGTTGGAGATTAATTTGCCGCTTATTAGTGACAACTGCGTTAGTGTCTGCACAGGCAAGGTGCTGAACTGGCATGCCATTTGTTCAGACAACTAGGAAAGAATGTGAAATGTATTACATTAATGTGTTTTATTCGATAATTTATAACAAGTCGAACAGTAGCATGACTGACTAGACATCAGTTATTTGATATGAATTTAAAATCAGGAACGGCTGTAGCACATTAATCCAAAAGTGCGGTCAATTTTTGTTAAATTAGAGGACAAATTTAAAATCATGTGAGGAATTACACGATTTGTGGTTCGCTAATGATAGCAGTGACACTGAGGCACCTGAAACATCCCGCAAAAATGAGAGGCATACGTTGCAAGGTGAAGTTTTTGAAAACAGAAAAAGGGGTCATTTAATGATTACAGATATTATTATGGAAGCACCTAGATGAAGTTAAGGAAATTTGGTCAGTGGTCTACCGTGAAATTATTTAATATTAACCATCCAACTATGCATGTCAGCATATTTTACCAAGTAGCAAGATCTTGCACTTCTAGAAGTGTTGCTACCATTAAAGTTAATTACATGGGGGTCAAAATGATGGAATTGGGTATTTGCGCGAGGTAAAACCAACTAAGACAAACGAAAATCATTGCCTCCCACAAATTTTCCCAATACAAACTTTTTAAGAAACTGACGCACTATGTTCCACTTCATAAAATTTTTGGCCATTCTGTCATTTTCGCACTATATTTTTAAACTCTATTAACACTACATCAGACATTTGAGTTAACAAGACACTGCCAAAGTATGGACTCTAATCAACGAGGCTAGGTCACATGACTTCTGAGAAAGGTTTTGAAATCGTATTTGTAACTAGCTCATAGATATACAGAAAAAAGGGCATACCTTGGGCACGCCTACCGTGACCATGTCAACTAAATCACTCTTGACAGCTGCTAGA